CTATAAGTAACAGACCTTTACAATATTTTCTTTCATTTTGTCAGAACAACAAAAGATTCTACAATTACAATAATGTGTTTAAAGGTGTGTAACCCAGAGATGGTAGGTTTAACAGTTTGGTTCCGTTATATATAGTTTTATATATAACATGTATGTTTATATTTGACACACATCCCATAATGATTTTTGTTAGAACAATGTTGTGTGTCATGTGCCTGGGAAAGAGCTAGGAGTGGTACTTGATAGGATGATGAATGCGCAAACAACGGAAAGAGAGAAAACAGAGACCCAAGTATTCTCTGTGTACATTTCCATCGCGTCTGTTAGCGACAACCTCGTCCTGTTCTCTGCCCAGTTCCTTAGTCTGTCTGCTTCCGCTGCATATAAAGCCCGTCCCTGCAAACACAGACATATCTTTGCGTAAGACCAGGCTAACCCGGTGAATTTTTTTTCAAAACTAGTTAATGTTATTAATATAGGCGTACGATTTGTATAGAACGATCTGAGTTAAACCAAAGCGAAACCTGAAGTGTAGTAACTTACTTGGTCATCGAACCACCGGCCTCTCCTTAGCCAGGAAGTGACGATGGCTAGCAATATCCTTGGAGGAGTTAGGAAATTAACAGATTTTCCCGAGCCTTTTACAACTCGCATTCGTGGTACTAGCGTTCTAGCGACTGTCTCAGGAAGCTCACAGATTATGTTAAACATCTGCTTGTTTTTTATACTCGAACCACTGCCAAATAAAAGGTTGATAATCAAATTCATTTGTTTCTTTGCGTCTATCTATTCTTATTTACAATTACATATAATATTACAAGATCCATGTGTGAATTGTAAACGACGCCAAATGTAAATGAAGGGAAAAACATCTCTGCATGAATTTTTTATGAAATAATGAAAATGTTTCTAATGTTTTCTTGAATAAAAAAAAAATACATAATTAAAAAAATTTCCTCCAAAACAATTTCGCCTTAGTGAGAAAGTGTATATGTGCCTGCATACCTGAGAAGAAGTTCGGTCAGGACCATGCCGGGAGATGCAGTGTGCAAGCCAACCTTTGTTTTTTGGCATTCTTTCAGAACAGACCCATGAAATTGCCTAAGTCCACATTTTGTTGACCCATATCTGCAAAACCTCGAGATGGTAAAGACTCAGAAATTTGATTCCATTAACTATAAACAAAGATCAGAATCGATAGATTTGATTTCTTACACGGCTGTAAGAGGAGTGCTAGAACCCCCAGAACCAGCCCCATCCATGTTAAAGATGTGCCCACCGTTGTTCTGTCTACTCATCACATCCATCGCCCCTCGTGTACATAGAATCGATCCAATCAAATTTGTAGAGACAATCTGCAAAATTTCGATTATAATTAGACCAAGAAACTCCACCAAAGTTAAACTTCAGGCTCATAAAGGATTTTACCTGTTTAATATCTTCTTCGGTGAACTCGAGCAGTGGTCTAAACCCTTTGTTAGTACCAGCATTGTTTATCTGTCCATAGATAAACAGAGTGAGGAAAAATACAACCTAAGAGACAAAAAAAAGTTATAAGATACACATCAAAAAATGATTTTTACCCATATGTTGATGGAACCAAGCTCTTTTACAGCGAAATTCGACAACTTCTCAACATCCTCGGGTTTGCAAACATCACAAGCAATACCAACCACCTTAGCATCAGCCAATTTCTTTCTAGCCGACTCACTAGCATTACTCATAATCTCTTTAAGGTTTTGCTCAAGCTCTTTTACAGTCATATCAACAGATTCCGAACTAATTTCACAACAAAAAAAAAAACCAAAGAAACCATAAGACTCCATTTCTTAACAAAATCTAATCCATATATTACATACGAAGCTACAACCTGCGAGATGTAACGATCACTCTATCTCCAGAGAGAAGAAATTCTCTAGCAAGAGCTTTTCCTAGTCCCCTCGTGCTAAAACACCGCGTAAAAACACACACATTAGCATCAAAGAAAAACACAAAGGAAACAAAGAATTGACAATATAACACAACGGCAAAGCAAATCACCTTCCAGTAATAACAACATTGCGTGGACCGGCTCGGTAATGATCTTCTAAAACCATATTAGCACCAATCATAGTTCCAATGATAACTCCACCAAGCCAACTATACCAAACCAATGAGTTCATCGAACCATCCCCACCTTTCCATTACAATATACACACACACACACAATTGAGCCAAACCAATGAGTCAAAACATTCAAAAATCTTCTAAAAATGCATCTTATAACAAACCTGACAATTGAAACCCAATCAAGAGAATAGCTCCAGTACTTGTCATCGTCACAATATATCTCGCAATTTGAACAGCAATCTACAAATACAACACCTAAACATATAAACCTATAAACCCATCTAAATTAAGCTTGAAATCGAGATGATTAGAGCAAAAAGGTTGAGAATTTTGCAATTATATAAGAATAAAGGAAGAAACTTTAAGACTTACTGAAGAGAAAACTGTCTCTAATTTTGCAACTTTCTGATTATACTCATCAATAGATAAGAACCCTAATTTACTAAAACCAAAAAACCCAGATTTAACATCTTTTTCTTTAGAATTCTCACTATTCCTCTGTTTTACAACTTTTTTCTCCCCTGAATCACTCTCACAACGATGCACACAAACCCTATTGTTACGTTCTCTTCTTGACCCGACCCGTTTGTGATCCATGAAGAAGAGACGGTGCTCCAAACATCGTGGGTACACTTGAAGCTTCGTCAAAGTAGTCATAGAGTGAGATTTAGATAAGCATGCAAAGAAGAAGATGAAAAAGGAAAGATCTTTTATGTGTTTTTGCCGTCTTAGAATACCCAAAAGAGTTAGATATTTTTGATCTTTGTATTCGTCGAAGATGTTAAATAGAGATTCAGAGGAG